TATATAGAAAAATAAGTGAAATTATCAGAGACATGAGATGACAGTCAGGTTGCCTGTGTATCCTATAGTGACATGGAGGTCAGCGGGAGGAACCACTGAGCGCAACTATGCCTGTTTGTAATTTTTACAATGACTGCATCGCTTTAAAGGATTCCTGAGAGTTGTGAAATAAATCAAAAGGTTTATTAAATGTATAAGAAATATTTATTTATTTTTTAGTCAAAAACATTGAACCCCCCTTTCCCCTTTTTTTCAATTTCTTATGGTACCACCACCTTGATAGAGGATTGGGTGAGTATTTCTTCTTTATTTTTGCCCCTTAGACAAATCGAGCAGTTAACCCTTGCAGTGCCAGGGTAGCCCCACTGCAAGGGTTAACCTTTAAATTAGTTTTAGGTATCAGGCTATAGTTAGAGTAAAGGTGCCCATACACTGCACGATTCTCATACGAGAATCTCAATCGTACGAGAATCGTGCAGTGTGAATGAAGAAGTGCGACCGTTTCTACTGTACGGTCGCACGTCTTTTGTCTAAAGAGCATGCTAGAAAACCAGCCGCAAATCTTACGATTTTCGGCTGGTTTGAATGATGCTCGGGAGACAAATGCCGAACAGGCCGGTGTGCGCACGTGCACACTGCCCGTTCAGCATTGCGGTCATCGGAAGCCCGCCCCTCAGGGGGGCGGGCTTGCGATGATCGCAATTACGATCTGCCTGTCCAAGATGGGCAGATCGTACGGTTTTTTAATCACTTTACAACCATCGCAAGACTAAGGTCTTGCGATGGTTGTAAAGTGTATGGCCACCTTAAGGCCTCATTCCCACGACTAACAGCCGGCCCTTACAGATCCGTGCTGGGTGTACGGCTGCATCGGGGCGCTCCCGGGAAGGAGAGGTGCTGCGTGTGTTTGCACGCAGCAGCCTGTTCTTCTCTATGGGAGTACGCGGCTGTACGCTCACCCGAGTTGCACGTCCGCGCGGGTGTCCCTGCTCGGACGCAAGCAGGATTTGTACGGGCCGGCCGTTAGTCGTGTGAATGAGACCTAAGTGTTGCAGGTTAGAGTATGCACAATGTAATGCTCTTGGATCAGTTTTATTTTATTTTTTTCTATTTATTTAAACATTTTCTGTTATTTATATAAAATCCCTTATCCCTTATTTACTCTTGAATAAACCCTACAATTCTGAATTACCTTTCAATGAACATGAATAAGAGTATTGACTTTTTAGTTTTATGCCTGAAATGTGTTAACTTTTATGCCTAAAATGTGTTAATGTGGGACTATAGTGCAGTCTGTCAATAGCATTAACACATCAGCTAAGACAAACCAGTTACCAATGATTAGGGTTCCGCCAGCAGACAGCTTTTAATCATATAGTTTAAACCTTATTTCCAAAAGAAAAGAAAACGTTTGCTGTAAATGCTTAGAGGTATTAGAAGAAGTTAGGCTTTCATTTGTTTCATTTAAAAACGACATCTTCATCTCAAACTAGTATGTCCATGGGATGACAACACTGTTGAACTATTTTACTGCAGAACAAACAGGGTTGTCACCCTATTGCAGGAAGCGAAAAACTATCTATTGGCAAGATCCACAGGTAAAAAACTATGTTACAGGTGGGACTCAGAAAAACTGAAACTACTGTGTTAAAGAAAAACTCCTGGCAAATAAAAAAACTTAAACTTGCAATGGGGCTACCCTCCTCACTACAACGGTTAGGTGCTCATTTTGGCTTAGGGGCTGGAATAAAGCTGTTTTACTCACTTGATCCTGCTCTGTTCTAGCTATGGAATGACCCTCGGCATCCTCACCTTTAATGCAGGTTAATGGATCTGTATAAGAGATAATGACGTCACTGGTCTTTTGAGCGCCAGAACTCAGGGGAGAAAAAAAAATCTGCGGGGACTGATCTAGCAGCCCAGAGGAAACCAGGGTCAGGTAAGTAAATCTGCTTTATTCCAGTCCCTAGACCAAAAGGAGCACTTAACCCTTGCAGTGGGGCCAGAGTTCCTATTTAATGCTAGTAACAGGTCACATCCTAAATGTCATTTTTTGTGTGCCCAAAGTAGCCATGACCTATGTTCCATTTCCCCAAACCCAGTCCTGTTTTCAGGATAGTTTGGGATTGAATATTTTCGCTTAGCCAAACTGGTTTTAATTAATTTAATACTGTGAACCGATCCTCACTAATTCACACAAAGCTGAACACTTCTTAATATGGATTTACTAAGAAAGAAGATTGCATTAACCAAGGCCTGTCACTGTTAATCCATTTGCTGTAAAGCTAACTAAAACATGTTTCTTGTAATCAGGAATACCAGTAATGTGTACTCAGAAGTTCACAATGAAAAGCTTTTTACCCAAGATACTTATGACTTCCTGGCTCTGATGGTGGCTACAATTGGAATTTTCGGGTTGTGTAGTAACTCGCTAGTGCTGATTCTGTATTGCAGATTCAAAACATTAAGGACACCAACAAATCTTCTCTTGGTAAATGTCAGTTTCAGTGACCTTGTTTTCTCACTTTTTGGGGTCAGTTTTACTTTTGCATCATGTGTAAGCCAGCGGTGGATCTGGAACAAAGCGGGATGCGTTTTTGTTGGAATGTGTGAAAATCTGTTGGGTGAGTAAGGTCGTTTTTTTATACTATGATCTGGCAAATATTAGATAATGTACTATACCAATTTACTGGTTGTAGGTTATATGTATGTAATGCGTGGTGATTATTATTATTACAGGTATTTATATAGTGCTGACAATTTACACAGCACTTTACAAAGTTGCACATTCACATCAGTCCCTGCCCTCAAGGAGATTACAATCTAAGGTCCCTATCTCACATGCATACATAGAGGGCAAACTTAGAGAGGAGTCAAATAACCTACCAGCATGTCTTTGGTAGTGAACACAATATACGGTAGTTAATGTCCTGTAGAACTATATTATGTAGCCCATTTTTTGTTATGGCAGGAAACCAAACACTCTAGAGCAGTGGTTGTCAATGTATATGGTATAGGGGGCCTCCACTGCAGCCCCTGATGTTACCAAGGGTCAAACATGTTAAGTATATGTAATGCTAAACCGGACTGTAGACTGCGAACCTACTAGAGGAAATGGTTGATGTGGGCATGCTGCAAGGGTGATTGAAGACTGAAGATATGCAGCAGAAGACAGTGTGATACTGGGGACATGCTAAATGAAGCTCGCAGAGATTACTGCTCTTACCACTTTACAAATCACTGTTCCCACTATAGATTTCTTGGATCCAAGGGCCACACAACAAGAACCCGGTAGCCGCATGTTGCCCTTGGGCCACAGGTTGGGCATCAAAGACCTACAGGATACTCCAAGCATGGGGAAAACACAAACAATCCATGCAGACCTGGAAAGGAACACATACTTCATGCTCACAAGATTTGATACCTAATGGCTACAAGGCTAATATGTTGTCCACTGTAACAACATGCACTGTATTCAAAATTGTCCGCATGGTCTTAGAAAATGTAAATTGAGCACATTGGTCAGTTCAGTTGTACATTATGTTCATATCTGTCATTGGCTCACAATTCACTTTGTTGTTTCACAGGTTGCGTGTCAATCTTTACACTTACTGCTGTGGCATACGAACGATATGTTCGAGTTGTATTTGACAGAGTTATTGATTACTCATGGTCATGGAAAGCAATCACTTCTGTCTGGCTGTGTTCAATGGCCTGGACTATGGCACCATTAATGGAATGGAACAGATATATTCTAGAACCTCATGGACTAGATTGCTCTTTGGACCGAGTATCAACAGAGGCGAGACACTCCTCATTCATTCTTCTCTCATTTATAGCTTGTTTTGTTGTCCCAATGAGTATTATGATTTACTGCTATGGCTACATTTTATGCTCAGTCAGAATGGTGAGTAAAATGTATAACACTTTATATATAAAATTGTAACAAAAAGGATACACGGGCATAAACACTAGAAATGAATAGAACTATAAGATGTTTTAATTACTGAACACACATACATATCATATAAATTCATGGGGCTGTTTAAAACTGGTGGCCAAGCTTGTTACATCTCTGCAATTACACAATGGGCTACTGGCCAAAACAGGGTACTGATTACGGGGACATGAGTTGTCATAGGATCCTAATAGAACAAGTGTATTGTGTATAGATGTGCATGCTGGATTGGAGTGTCTGAAATATCTGCTAGACATGTGTGGCGGCAAAAAATTAGAACTTAAGCCAAAACATTTTGTATTTTGAAGAGTAAGTGAGTGGTATATCCCGTCAGCTTTTTTTTCCCCCCATCTTTGTCCTATTAGGGAGATTTCCTTTGACTTCCTGTCTGATAGCCACAACAGGACGTGAGAGAGGAAATCCCTCCAAAGAGGAATCCCTGGTGGTCAGCAGGGTCTCCAGAACCATTCGAAGATTTCCCATCTATTCCTGTTCTGGTGACAACGCCAAAATTTGGGATTTGCTCTCTATTTGTCACCAGGACAAATAGAGAGGGCTGAATATCCCTAATGAGATGCAGACAGCAATAAAAAACCGACAGGGATTCAGTTGCACTTTAACAACCCAAAGTTTTCAGTGCTAGTTCACTATTACCGGCTAGAAGGATGTCTTGTACTAGCTGTAGTAAACGGAATATTTGAAAACATAAAATACAGCGGCAATCAAATGTGCCTTTTTTTTTCTTTTTAGCTTCGAAAGTTACAAAGTGTTGAAACAAGCCAAGTGCTGAGGCTTTTACATTATGAGAAACAAATGGCTGTGATGTATCTTCTGATGATTTCGGCCTTTCTTCTTTGTGGGATGCCTTACCCAGTGCTGTCTCTTCTGGCGATGTGTGGTCATAGTGACATGATTACCCCAGCTACCGCCATTGTGCCCTGCTTCTTGGTCAAAACAGGCGCCGCAACACATGCAACTATCTATATATTAACAAACAAGAAGGTGAATGAAAGTATTGTATATGATTTCACATATCTGACTGCATGTATCAAACTCTGTAACTATTAGTTCTATATAAAACCAATTGTGTGGAGGAGGCCATCTTGGTAGATCTGATGACTGGTGGGGTAATATTAATGAAGCAAAATGCAGAAATCACAAATCCACAGAATGAACTACACAAAACTGGAAGATTATTTCAGTTTGGAGATGTGGATGAACTTCACAATCTCCCCTCCTCCAATCACATAAGTCATTGCAACCTGTGAAAGGAATGCAAGGCTTTTTCTGAATGCAAGATGGGATACAGCAAGTGATTCACTGTGATCGTTGTACTACAGCAGGAAATGGAAATCATTGCTGGTCATTTACTACTGAAAGGGAGTGCGGGCTGAATGACAGTAGGTGATTTATTGAACATTACAGCAGCCAGAGATGGGGCTCACTTCATCAGTGGTCACTTATTTTCACTATGTTAATATTGTTCAGCTTTAAGCTTACCAAATTTGGATTTGTGTGTTTCATAAGGCAAATGTGTTTTTTTTACTTCATTGCATGTTGTCAGTCTGCTATGGATTTTTTTTTTTTAAATAAAGAACATTAAAGCTGAAACCTTTTTTTTTTTTCATCAGCAGATCTAGTCATACATGTTAAGTCTAAAGATGATCTGCTTGGAGGGCCACTGCTTTTTGTAAAAATCCTCTCTTCATTGCTGCCACCCATTCATAAAACATATTTTATTGTTTTCTTGTTTTTATTTTGCAGTTCAGACAAGGCCTCATGAAGCTCCTCTGGATGAAATGTTTGAAAAACCATAAGATATTTGCCAGACAAGAGATTCCAGTTGGAGTAGGTGGCCGATTGTTCAAAGATGGAATGCAACGGAAGAAAAACGTACACTACACGTCTTCCTCTTTTAGCTCTGTTATAACAACAGGCCAAACTAATACGCAGCAGTCTGCTGAAGGAACACAAAAAATCCATGCACCTGCTGTTAAAATAATCCATGTCCGGCCATTATAACCTTATTTACATCTCAGTTAAAGTGATATTAAAGCCAAAGTGTTCCTAAACTAGTTAAAAATGCAGATTAAATAGCTTATAATGGATGATGTTCCGTGATTTTAAAATTTGTAGTTTTAGTTTCTTGCAGAATCAGGCGGTCCCCTGAGCACTGGCCATGATGTCCTGTTTTAGGGTGGCTTCTTTCCCTCGCAGGGTCCTATGAAGCCACCCTTATGTGTCTCCACAAACACACAGGCAAAGCAAGGCAGCCACTTCCCTACTTCCCATTCCTCTTTCCTCCTTTCTTTAATTTTCCTCCTCCTTTCTTCTCCAAGCTAGTAGATGGACAGCTGCTGGAGACGGCTCTGTACTTTGTGATCTTGTACTGGAGAAGAAGTTAAGGGATGCCGTGCTGAGAGAGTTGGAGCCAGCTGTTCAGAAACATGATGACTAAGTGCTTGGCCAAAAAAAACCCTATAGAGAGATACTTTGCTGGGCAAGGTATATTTGGATATCTGGATTCATTATTGAAAAAAGTTTGAGAGTTTAATACTACTTCAAGTACATTTACTAAAAACAAATTCCCTCTTCTCAAAGCACCACATATGCTAAAGCACCATATGTGTTTACACCTTCAATTTCTCAGGAGAAGAGACTCCTTACCGATGAACCCCAAAAATAAAGGTTACAATAATCACACAAATGATTTTAAAAAAGTCTTTATAATATTTTAGCAAGGAAAACTAATCAAATCTTCGTTTTAAACTTATTGAATCACTCCTCAGACTGTGGCCTTCTAGTAGTTTTTAAAGTGACATTAAAGTCAAACTTTTTTTCCCCCTTTCCCAATCCTGCTGTAAGGACTCACCTTAAATAATGTCTCTTAATCCGATCTTCTTCTTTCCTGTAGTTTTTAGCTGTCCCTCCAGCACTGGTGCGGGTCTCTGATCCAGCGCTGACTCCTCTGTCCTCCTCTTCTCTCATGTCCCACGGAGTCTGTGCAGGTGCACGCTGCTCCATAGACTTACCTTGTGTCTCTCCTCGTCTCCCGGCCCAACATCTGAAGCCCCAAGAACCTTTGCGGCTGGCCGAGAAATTTTCAGATGTTCGGATGGGAGCGCGCGGCGGAGACACTGGTATTAACCCTTTGAAAAAGTTTTTTCTTTTTTTCGTTTTGCATATATCTACTGCTTGCTAGCAGTAGATATATGCAAACACAAATGATGGTTTAATAACCTTTTAATGTTGTAGCTGCAGCTTTTATTGAAATAATTTTTATTTATTATGCCCTGAAAAGTCTTGTTTTGGCACTTCCTGTTATGGGGTGACAACTGTCTCTGAATTGTGACCCTGACACACAGCCATGATCCAGCCAGTGTGTCAGGGTCACAATGACATTAACAATAACTGTTTCCTTCTTTTTGTCTTTATGCTGCATCTTCGGCTTTTGCTTAGAGCTTTGCAGTAATCAGTAGCAGAGTTTTGATTAACCTCTTTTGCTTGCAATCTGACTTTCCCTCAACACATACTTCTGCTTCCAGTTGTCCTTTAGACACCATTGTCTGTAGGCCAGGATCATTCCCATATGCTTTAATTATTTTCTTAGAATATGCAGAGGGAGCCAGAAGAACATAACTGAAGAAGGTGCTCAATTAAGAAATGTATAATAGCTCTCCTGACTCGCAGGATGAGATCGATAATATGCAAACCGGAAAATTGGGGCTTTATCCTGGACCGAGAGGGTGCTACCACCTTCTACATTAAAGGAGAACTATGAGGTGAGTGATTATCCCTCAACCTCATAGTTCGAGCCGACGTGTGACAATGAAACTGTCACACGTGTGCTCAATAGATCGGGAAGTGGGCGAACACATACCGTTGCTCGCTCACTTCCCGATCATCTCCCTGCAGAAAGCTGTGACTGTCACTCACCGCTCCCTGCAGGGATTCTCCCCTCCCCGCTCCGATTTACGGAGCTTTGGGTCACGGGAGGATGCAGGTATGTGTCCTTTGTGACCCTTAGGAGAACTATGGGGAAAAACACTTAACCCATAGTTCTCCTTTAATACCACTGTTTGAGAGCGACTCTCTATTTTCCAGCAGATTGATAAAGTTGTCTGCTTCCCTCTGTCAGCTTCCTAATTTATTCCGCTTTTTTGACTCGGGTTTTTCTTTCTCTCCTCCTTTCCTTGCTTATTTTTCTTCTTTCTCTTCTCCCCCTGTCTTGTTTTTACTGCGCCTCTCATGGGCACACCTCATCTTAACAGAGTTTGTGTTATATTTTATGTATATATTTGAGGATGACCTTTCTCGGGACATTATTTTGTATATCTGTCTTTTCTACTTCAAATGTTTGTATCCTCTATAATGTTAAATAAAGATTATATAAAAGAAAAATACATTCATAATAGAGGGTTGCAGCACTTTGAGAGCAGAAGTTAATCATCTTAGGGCTGCAGCTTTCACATTCTGCTGTGCTGAAATACGAGGCATCCCTTGATGACCTTTCATAAAGTTGCGTGTGCTCAGGCAGTCTCTGGCATGAATACCATGGTGAGTCACTGGAGTTGATTTACTAAAAGCAAATAGACTATTTACGTTGCACAGGTATTTTCTCTTTGCAAGAGAATTTCCCCTTAACTTAAGGAATGAGGTGAAGCTCTGCCAAATTCCCTCATCTTCTGCAAGCAAAAAAATACATTTTTTTCTATTTTCCTTGCATGTGATTGGATATTCTTTGCAAAGTGAATTTCCACCATTCACAAAGTTAAGGGAAAATCCTTTGCAAAGTGAATAGTCTATTCGTTTTTAGCAAATCGACTAGAGTGATTCACCGTAGTATTACTGCAAGAGACTGCCTGAGCACACGCAGCTTTATGAAAAGTCATCAATGGATGCCTTCTATTTCTCTCCGCACATCAGAATGTGGAAGCTGCAGTTCTAAGTCATTTTACTTCTGCTCTAATATTACTGCAAATTAGGGATGCACCGATACCAGTTTTTCTGTATCAAGTACCAATATTTTTTTCCCCAGTACTCGCCGATAACGAATACCGATACAGGAAGTCCCATTAAGGAAGCCAGGTGGCGTGTAATGATTTGCCATATGGCTTCCTGATTAGCCGGGAAGCTGGGCGGCGTGTAAAGACTCTCCACCCGGCTTCCCGATTATCAGGGAAGCAGTCTCCATGATTCTCGTCACTAGATGATGAGAAAGCATGGGGCCGGCTTCCTGATTGGCTAGGGAAGCCAGCTCCATGCTCCCTCGCCACGAGGTGATGGAGCATGAAGCTGGCTTCTTGGCCAATCAGAGAGCCGGGCGCAGCGTCATTACACGGCACTCGGCTTCCTGATTGTCCAGCTTCCCGACCAATCAGGAAACCGGTTAGCGAGTCATTAGACGCTGCCCGGCTTTCTGATTTGCTGGGAAGACGTGACGAGGGAGCATGGAGACAGCTTCGCGGCTAATCAGGAAGCCGGGCAGTGTTTAATGACTCGCTGCCCGGCCTCCTGATACCGGCAGCTAGGCATCGGAGTATTTGTGCGAGTACCTGTATTTGCCCAAATAATAGTGGGTCCTGATACTAGTATCGGTGCATCCCTACTGCAAACCTCTATTATAAATTTCTTAATTGAGCATCTTCTTCAGTTATGTTCTTCTGGCTCCCTCTGCATATTCTAAGAAAATAATTAAAGCATATGGGAATGATCCTGGCCTACAGACAAAAGGTGTCTGAAGGACAACTGGAAGCAGAAGTATATGTTGTCAAAGATTCTAATCTGCATGCTTCTGGGTTGGTGACTCAGAGAGGACTAAGGACCAAGCATTTTCAGAAGGAACTGTCATCAGCAAAAGGAGGTCTATTGTTTTATTTAGTACAGGCTTCCTAAAAATAGCAGCTATTCCCACAAATATTCACCTATCTACTGCTGTGGGATTCCCCACGGTGACTTGCTTCTTGCCACATCTCTGCTTTGACTCTATGGGAGACATTGTCTGAGCAGCGAGTCAGACCTTCAGCCTCACAGTAAATGCAGCAGCTGGGCAGACATCTGGGGATCCTACTTTAGGAAATGTATATCTGTAGGGACACACACCAAAAAACATCCTGCCTTTTTTGTGAACATGACACACCATAATGCTTGTGTATTCACGTCTATGTGTAGTGGGACGTTGAAGGGTTGGGTGCATTATTTACTGCACTTAAATGCATTGAAAGCCCATTACAAAACCAAAAGCATGTTCAACATGTTAGCAATGCGCATCAACATGCATGGTAACATACATGAAACAATGTGAAGCCTAAAAGGTTGTGTTCTTTAAACCCTTAGTTCTCAACTGGTGGGTCCTGAGCCAAAAGTGGGACGCCCCGTGCCTTCCACTTTTCTAGGCGAGAGGCTACTCAAACTCCCCCTATACACACAGTACTGTCAGTTCTCACGCCAAACAGCCATTCAAAATATGCTGCTCGGTGATGAATGTCAGCTTGAGGTGGGATGGGCTGGGGGTATGGCCGTGAGGGAGCTCCATCCATACATGCATTGCTTACAGCTCCCTCACGTGTCCTGTAGAGGTGCCTGGACCAGAGTGACGCCACATTCCGGCTCCCGGTACCTCTACAGGGCACACGAGGGAGCTGTACAAGCAATGCACATATGGATGGAGCTGATTCACAGCACAACTGCTCACATTGGGCCCCAGGCTGAGGATCCATTCCAGTTCTCGTAAGGTAGGAAGGCTGGGTGGATCTTAAAAAAGTGGTGTGTGTGTATGTGTTTCTCTCCATGTTTTTGAGGGCCCATTCACACTAGTGTGTTAATCGAACAGTCCTGTGCCATTAAGGCACTCTACCACACAACTGCACCTACTATGCATTCTGGTGCAGGAGGTGTGTTGCGTTGCCATTCATCACCACCTCCCGCCCACAGTTCAATCACCCGCACCAGAATGTGCGGTACCGCAAGGCCGTGCATTCCATTGCAGTGTGACTTGGGTTGCGACTTCATGGCCAAGGACAAATGTGGGGCCTGAGGTTACACAGGTTGAGAACGACTGCTGTAAACATTGGGAGTAGAATTCCCTTTAACGAAAACAATCTGCTTATTATATTTAGTATTGTATGAAAAGATATGTGAGGCTTCCTTTGATATAGACAGAAGATTTAATAATTGCACTTTTTTTTTTTGCATATTTATGTTACGGATTGTATTCCATTACTGATAAGAGAAACTTGTAACTAGCCAAGGACATCCTGATTCTAGCAAGACAGGTCAAGAAAGGTCAGTATGTAAAAATTCATGTGCATGCAAATTACACACAACAAATTGAGGGTGTGAGTCTCATTAAACAATGTATTCATTATAATGGTTGCATACTCCCAAAAACACCTCTTATAGCTTGTTGATCATGAAAAAAAGACTTGCATTCTTCCATCAGATGTTCTCTTTACGTTTTATTCCTTGCCACTGGTTAGCAAGGGAAGAAAAAGAACTTGAGCTTATTGAGCCATGCTTGAACTATTTAGAACAACAGTAATTACTGCTATTCATTTGAAATAATTATTAGAACATCTAAAAATTGCACTTGAGAGTAATAATAAAAGAGAAAATAAATAAAAATAATTTAAAAAGAAGTTACTTTCAATAAAAATAAGCTGTGCATAATTAAATAAAAATAGTTATTACAATTATATAAAATACTGTACAAATGTGATCAGTCACTGCTTTAAAAATGCTCAAACATGCTATTAACAAAACACAATTAGACCAGGAGGAGTTTGTTGTTTTATATCAGTGCTGCAGTTATAAAAGGCAATGTCTATGTCTTTGGCAGCTCTTTCATATATGTTGAAGTATAATCAGTATGAGATGAGTAGTCTGCAATGGGAGAAAAAGACTCGTTCATATAGTTGTAATTCTGTTGGCTGGTTGATAAATCTGGTTCAGGCTTTAGTGGTAGAAAGTCTTGCATAGTTCTGTGTTGGAAAAAGTCTGTTCTTGAGTTCCTTGCCGTGCTGACGTCGCACTTCTCCTGTTGTAACAAAGCAAACATGAATAAGATGGTTCATTTTATTGTCACCCTTTCACTACCAACAGAATGCATCAGGTCTGAATGAGTAGAACTCATGAGACAACCTGCCTGGTGGCATAACCTCACTGGTCAATCACTCATCTTTTGGGTTATGTATTAGCCAGACCAGGGTCTCTGTGTACCAATCTGGCCAATTAAATAGTGACTCGGGTAAGGAATTCCACAACGTAAGTCAAGGACGTTTCTATATTCTGTACATTAACGCTACAATCATATATCAGCTTTCAGTGTGCCATTGGATAGTTCATGCAAATGTTAAAGAAAATGAGATCAGTGCACTTTTGAGACACAATAGAGCCCTCAAAACAGAAGCTACAATGATTTGGAGTCATTTTAATTTATTTTTCTTTAACTCTATGAGGGGAATTTATCAAACCTGGAGCAGACAAAATCTCAAGACCTTGTGCATTGCAATGGAGCAGACAACATTTGAAGAAGTTGTGCAATACAACCAATCATCAGTTTCTATCTTTCATTTTAAACTGATATTTAAATATATATTTTTTTACTCTATTAGTAAACAATATTTTCATATAAACATTTAAGGTATCCTAAGCAAATCTGGCAGGTGTGAGGGGGTATGTCTTTAATGTGACCGGCTTTTAATTTGTTTGCCTAGCGTCCTTTTCTCCTAGGGGCAGTGCCCCTCGATGGACGACAGAGAAAACAAAAATAAAGCCCCTTCCATACACATGCACACACTGTGGCGTATGTAATACACATGCGCTGTGTTGGTAGAACACAACATAGTGCTTGATATTTGTTTACTTTTTGAAACAAAGCATTGCAACAAACTACCGCATATTGTGACGCGCTGCACTTAGAATTAAATATATGCCTGCATCATTTTACCACAGCACATACCAAACACCGTGCACAAGCAGCACTGCAGATCAGACATTACCACAACACAGTGGTGTGAGGCCAACCTCCTGATTGTTGGCATAAGTTACTTATTTATAATTTTGCATTTTAAAATTTTTACCATTTCACAAAAAGGTGCAATTTCAAATGTACAAATATTTGTTATTAATTAACTCAGTACAGTTTTATCATTTAGATTTAGTAGGAGTCCTGTAAATTGTTTGTGTGTGCTGCTAATGATTTTACTGCACTTTTAAAATCGAAAATATTGATTTGATAAACATTTACGCAACTGTTGTGAGACCTACAAAATTCTACCGGCCCTGTGCTTTCAGAAAATGTACGGTTTGGGGGGTCTTTTACAAACTGAAAGCTGCAGTTAAAAAAGTTTTTTTTTAAAAAAGGTGAAAAAAATTCTAAAAATGGTCTGGTCATCGAAGGTTAAAAGAGGAGCGCAGGGCCCGGCAACAAAAGGGTTAAATCAACAAAACTTATATGTCATACTACAGTTACCGGAGAAAAGCTCCTGCTCTCTCGCAAGCATGCGGACTGTAGCTCTGACTTGAGAGTGGATATGTGTTTCTCATTTAAGGTTATTTTTCTTTCCAGTGTTGCTGCTTTGGTACATGCAATTTGGTAGACATCTAGGAAATGTCTTATCATAATCTGTGCAGAAACAAACAAAAAAACAATAGTAAGGTAAGGTATTGAATAACAAACCACTTTCAGTATTATATGAATTAGTTTTGGAAGGATTAGAACCCCTGTCAGGTTTTACTGCTCTTCCCAGCTGTTCGTACTCACTTCCTGTCACATGTCGCTGGTTCAAGTGAAACCCAAGCAACAATACAGACCTGAGAGATTTTACCCTTCCCCAAACTTTTCAAATTAAAAAAAAAAACATCTGGCGCTACCCTTTAAACAAAAGTACCCGCCAGGTTTTTAAATAATAATATACACGATCAAATGTTTGTGGACATTCTAATCTCATTCTAAAACCATGGCCATTAATATGGAGATGACAACTCCCTGCACCCCTTTTGCAGCTTTTACAGCCTCCAGTATACTGAAAAGTCTTTCCAAAGAAATTGTGCAGAGTGTAGAAATGTGAGCTTAAGCCTTCAAAAGAGCATTTGTGAGGTCCGGGATTATGTTGGCTAAAGATATGGCCCACGATCTGTTCTAATGAATCCCATAGGTATTCAGTAGGGTTGAGGGCAGGCTCTGTGCAGGCCACACGAGTTCACCAAACACATCAAACCATTCATTGATGGACCTGGCTTTGTGCACAGAGGCAGTCATAAGGGAACTGAAGAGTCTTCCCCACTATCTATATTGCATTCATATAGGAAAAAAATATATTTTATTGATATACAAAATATACCTGGCACATTATAAACTCTGGTCCTCCTGCGTTTCCTTCCATTTCAAACATATTAGGTGTTAACCTTGGAAGCTGGATTGGAGCATCGTATTTTGTGGATGTTGCCCGTGATAATGTTGCCTCATCGTGGATCTAAATAAAGAATACATAGAAAAACAACCAATAGTAGGAGTCATTAAGAGCAATTATTTAGAATTTTGAAACATACACCCATGCATAAATGTACTTTAAAATGAGTCTAGAAACGTAACCTAAACTTCAGCCAATAAGTTATTTAGGACTTCAATTTCTGCTGACTGGAAACCAGGGTCGGCTCCTACAAAATCGTACAATGTGAAAACAGGAAGAGCTACATACAATAGTCAGGTACAGCAGTTATCCTACTACAGCATAAATGAGTCCAAAAGTCCAAGGTAGCCAATCAACATGGATATAGAATAAGGAACACACATTAGTAATACGCTCAAGAAATGTAAAGTTGATTATTCCGGTACACTGGACTAGCATTGTAATTATGATTTTGTTCTACCAACCGCTACAAAAACAGCACTAAGATGAATTAGGATTGATGCCAGATGTATTTACTAAAAGAATTGTAAAACAGTTTCTGACATTCAAGGGAGGACATTTTTACCCTCATTCCTGCTGCATGGCTGTCAGGCTGATCTTCTGTCTCCAACATTTGAGGAGTGCGTGTCTGGGCCGTCCGTGCACATTTGTCCCTGTGTCTCCATTCATTTCAAATGGGTTCCCGTAGGCGTGGGAAATGCAGAAAATAGTGCATTCAGCAAAAGCTCTGTTTTTTCCACCACATTTGTGTGTGTTTTAAACACGGGGGGGGGGAAACGCACATCTTCCTGGCCACATTTCGGATGCGAATAACTGGCACAGCAAGCGCTTTTTGCTAATGCACATTTTTGTGTGCTTTTGACGCACATTCCAAAACACTCAGGAGGGGAATGTATCAAAACTGGAGCAGTTGTGCATGGCAAACAATCAGCTTCTCTCTTCAGTTTGTTCAGTTAACATTTGAAAATGAAAGAAAGAGAGAAGCTGATTGGTTGTCATGCACAGCTGCTCTAGATTTGATAAATTCCGCTCTCAGGCATGAATGGGGACTTTGGGAGAAAGCGACACAGAGTAAGTATGTAGATCTGCTGGTATTCTCAGCTCCCTTGTTTCATGCTTGTTCCAGGTCAGTGGCTCAGGAACTCTGAAGCCAGGACAACTAGAAATCTGAAGATATGAGAGTAAAAAGTCTCCTTGTCCTATCATTAGTATTATTCATTTTTTGCTTTGCTAAAAGAACTCAATTGCTGACAGAATTCAAAATAAGTCATCACAGCAGTAAGACATGTCTCATCAGACAATGGAATCTAGTGTTTCAGTCAGGCAAATTCAACTGCAAAGCAAACTGCTCTGCTGTGTCTATCTTTAACCCATAGTGCTCTGTGAACCCTGTGGCATGTATTAAATATTTGTAAAACAAAAAAAATCATAGATAGTAACAAATTAAAACCATATACTAAAAAACCCCCCCACAATATATACATAAAAACACTCACAGACATGATATCATACAGTCACACTCTGCTAAATTGTGCTGTAACATCTATGTAAGGAAGCATGTCGGCCTAGCAGCGAGCCTTGCTGCCCTGGTTCTGTGTTTAACTCCCACTGGGGACTCTTTAGTGGTCTGAACATTATTCCCTTGTTTGGGTGGGTTTCTTTCAGGTGTTCTTTTTAAACCACAATCCAAAGTAAGTTAACTGGTTTCTTTCCAAAACTATGTACAATTGTGGTATCCTATTGTGATATTAATTATACTGTGTACATTTGTGGCAGAGACATTGGCATATGAGCAGTGACAGCCAACAGACAGTAATGTGAATAATCCTACGTACTGTGTGGTATCAATTGTTCTGTGTAAAGAGTTGCATACTAAAATAATGCAGTTTTAATGGAAACTGAGAGACTAAAGCTGGCTATACACTGCTCTATTTTTCTTCGTTCAACCTGCAGGCTGAACAAAAAAAATTAGAGCAGATGCTTCCATGAATGCTATGACCGCGTTGATCGTGGAATCCCCGCCATTTCTTTGTATTCTGCCAGCTGCTGTCAGAACACCCGAGCAGATTTGACAGCTCATTGGCTGCCAGCTCTTTTCGTATGAAGATTTTCCAACTGGCTCCTGTCGGCCAAAAGGGTGCAGACAGCGGCACCCACTGAGAATTGCAGCCGGTTCCGCAAGAACCGGTGAAAAATCGCACAGTGTATGGCTACCTTAACTGCAGAAGGGTGGAGTATAATGTTTAAAATGCATTCCCCTTTGTGTTCCAAGTCCCTCATCCACAGCTTTAAAGCCCAGGTCTGGGGGACTTCCAGAAATAGCACCTTCCATCTGTATGATCGAAGCAGATTTTAGGTCCTTGAAAACAATTGAAAGTAGGGCTTTCAAATTACAGTCTGGGGAATCATTAGGATCTGTTTGTGGAAATGTCTTTTTCTGCTTCTCTATTATGGCTGTTCTGTACTTCCTGTAAGTGCATCCGCACCTCCCAGCATGCAAGCCCATTTTGTTTTGAAGTTGCAAAAACTGTTGCATAGCTATCAAGTTATGGTCTATTTGATCAAACTAAAACAACAAATTCTCAAATAAAATAAGGAACATCATGGCAACATTAAAAAAAAAAAAAAAATATCAATAAATAAATGAAAAACTTCCATACCTTTTGAAAGGCAGCTGAAATTGACTTCATGTAGCTCACCAAGATTTCTTTATCCCTGGAAAATTACATTATAAAATATTATTAAGAGTACAGTCAAGCAAGCATATGACTGAAATGTAAAAACAGTGTCATACAGTAGATAATACTTATAGCGGAAGTCAACTGAACTGATTTTATCTCAATAATTTCATTCAGAATAATCAAGTAAAGAACGTGCTGAGTAAAGAACGTGCTGAGTAAAGAACGTGCTGAGTAAAGAACGTGCTGAGTAAAGAACGTGCTGAGTAAAGAACGTGCTGTGCAGAAAGGTCTATAGATCATAGGAGAGCCAAAGGGTTATAGAGTAAAACGTTTTTACTGTGAATTTTCCAAGGACTTCCTACATTTTATTTTTATAGGTTTCATAGCCCGGTGCTCACAGCCTTGGAATGAAAGCACGTAGTGATCACTAGTTTACAGTAATACGTTTCTGACACTCACCTGGCTGCCGCACGCAGTGCACCTTCTGCGCTGGCAATGCTCTCCTCCAGTCGACGTTTGTCCTGTTCCAGCTTTGCCAGCCATGAGCTCTGGTGGTGTAGAGATTGATCTTTTCTCCATAGCTCCTTCTGTGCCTCAGAGAGACTCTACAAGGATGGGAGGGAAAGCGTTTTTACTTGTCAACATTCAAGCATGACTTTCATATATACCATAACAGAAAAATGGAATCTGCCATTGCTTCTCCAGTAAATGCTTGGCTGTCATGATAATCAAATGGCTTTAATAACTTGACTTATCAGGAACAAGTGTGTAGATAAGGGGGCAGTTGTTCATTGCTTGTCTTTGGTCAGTAGCCCTTTAAGTCCCATTCATAGCAGACTCTGCGCTAATCACACAGCATCTGGTGTGCAGGGACCCAGCACAGCGCCGAAGCGCTGATCCCAACGAATCATACGGTGTCGTTTTTGTGTTAAATCTTTATTGAAATGTCACAAAAGACATTTCATTCAGTTCTACAGGCACAGGAGGGTGCGAGGCGGTTGTATCTCATCGCAACACGCTGTGCTAAAAAAAAAAAAAAAAAAAAAAAAAAAAAAAAAAAACAAAAACAAAAAAAAAAACACAGCATACCGTAGTTTGTTTTCAGCACACACCACCGTGTTCCCATTGCATCATGGTGGTGTGAACCGAGCCTGTCTGTGAAAAGGCAAATTGCCTTGTCTTGTGTTGGGGCTGTGCTGGAGACAACGGCCAGCGCAGCTCCAATGCAGATGGTGTGATGGTTTGAAAATACAGTATTATCATAACAACCAGGCAACCAGCATTTCTAGAAGCAGGTCAGTAATGACAATCCTACATATTTCTTTTAGCACAGGTTTCTCCTAAATTATAACGGCTATGACAAATATAAAAGGCACTGCAAGTTTCTTGGCTTCTTTATTTTCTGGGTTACCAACCAAAACAGATACTTAGATAAGGAATGTCAGAAGTCCTTTTTTTGCATATTTGTTTGGGTTAGCCATTCAAAGAATCAAGAGGAGGGTTTAGCAGTCAGGCAAAAACCATTTTCAGAAAGAAGAGGTCAGCAGCACCAGCTTTCAAGTTTCTTTCAAGAGCACACCTAGTGCATATCATATATACTTCAGTACTTAGGTAACAAAATCTTAATCATTCCAAAAGCCAGATTATTATATAAAATACTACTATTTGACATCTACAAAGACACTCTTTACATAGTACTTTGGTAAAAGAATGGAAAAAGTTACCTTCATTGCCTCTGACAAGGTTAGATCTTTCTCTTTAACCTCTTTTGAGTGCAGTTCTATTTTATAATTAAGATCCAATAATTGCTGAGATTGTTCATTCAGAAGCATCTGAACTTCCTGCTCTCGTTGCAAAGTTTTATTTAATTCTTCAAAGGCAGTTTTAAACTTCTCATAAGGGACCATCTTCTGAAGAAACACAAATACGTGTCAATCAAGACATGATTCTGATATCTCACAATGATATGTAAGTGAAATGCATCATCATTTCAAACAAACTGTATCTGCCCTGAGCAATGGACTGCAAACATACTTAGATATATACAAGAACCCAGGTGTAGTAACAAGGAGCAATCAATTCCAATATACCTTTCCATGATCTGGCTATGAAGACTTTTCCTTCTGCAATCACTGTTACTGACATTATTTAATAAAACAGGAAAAAAAAAAAAAGAGGCTGTGGTAACCGGTCTAACCAGCATCTAGCACATGCTGATTAATTAAAAAATATGGAACACTGGAAAAAAACCCTCCAGTTTCTGGTCACTTTTTAAAATAAGAATAATCTGCCCATCACAATTAGAAACAAATAAAAAAAAAACAACAAACATTATAATGCTTTTGCTGCAATACCCACCTTTAATTTTAAGTGACCCCCATAAAAAGTTCACTCCTCCATTAGATGAAGCTCCTTTTCTGGGTTCAATGGTATCTAGTGCCATTTAACCCCCTTCTTGTGAGCACCAACTCTCATGGATGTTATCACGCAGGCTTGGGCTCACAGTACTTATCAGTACAGTCATTATGTGAACATCATTAGGTGCAGCAGTAAGGACCACCGCTAATGGACAAGAGGAAGGACCTGTGAAATCACTGCACTGGCCAGAAGACAGCTAGAATATATAAGGGCCCATTTACACTTCTCCATTTCTGTGAGTTAACATGCACTGTACAATGTGTTAACATGTGTTGCGTTAAATCGGTCCATTCATTTGGAACACACTGCCAACATACAGGAATGGACCAAAGAATTAACACGCATCATTTTTCCTGACAAAGCATACCACAGTATTGCATTACCCTGCGTTGAAGTGCGCTGCAACGTGTGTCAGAGCTGCATTGCCTTTGTGTCAGTGCGCTAGGATGCCATTCAAAATGAATGAAATGTGAATGTCATAACGTGTGCTGCAGTAACGTTTACTGTAATGCACCGAACTGCAAAAGGTGTCATAAACATGTGTAAACAGGAGTTGAGATTTAATTTCACCTGGACCATAAACATATTTGATTACAATGGTGATTTTTATTTTGCTTATGCCACCACTTACAGATCTTTCAAAGTGCTGGCCATCCTCTTTAAGCTTCTGTATTTTCTCCACATTTTTGCCACGCTCACTGAATTTCTGCTTCATATCCAACAATTCTCTGCGCATTGATCGTCTTTCTACTTCTGATGTATGCAGACGCTGAGTAAATTCAAATATCTTGATTCTCAAAGCAGCTAGGCACTCCTATCACATGTACAGAGAAAACCAAAAATCAGACATATATGGGCTATTTCCGTTAAAGTGCAGTGATCCACAAAAAACAACAACTTTCAGGAGTCCTGCTACTGAAAAACTGAAATAGGAGTTCTAATTGGTTGAGCCTACCACTATTAAGAAAAATTCTACAAAAAATGAATGATGTTAAGCAATACTTGAGCCTTTTTATGTACAAAGCAGTTTACGTTTTAACTAGTTGTAGATCTTGTGCAAAACAGTGACCAGGTTGGAATATAACTCCTGAGACTGGACTATGTCATCTTGGTCCAGGAGACCACAAAAGGGGCACAAGAAGATCTGCTAATCTGTGCCGTGACACAGTAACGTTGAAGGTGAGGAGCTGAAGAGCGAGCTGGAGGCGAGTCTCAATTTGTATACCTGAAATATCACTCTATGCTTCTAAGTGCCTTGAAGGCAAACTACCCAGAGTCTGCAAGGATTAAACAATGTCCCTCCACTTTGGAACGTGGGGGCACACCTTAATGCTGATGAAGGCTTCTGAGGGTTTAGCATGCTTCTCATCCAGACTTTGCAGGTGGCCAGAAAGTCAAGTTTAAAAGACCTAAATATGCAAATTCCAGGAGTAAGAAAACAAGAGGGAAATTTAATAGAACCTTTCCTCAACATCCTACGCTAAAGCAGGTGGGTGTTCTTGCCTCTAATGACATCCTTGATTTGGATGTCAAGATTTGGTCCAAAGAGACTTTGCCCTTTCAAGATTATGCGGATCAGGCATTCCTTGATCCCAGCAGCAAGAACTTTTTTGAGGGATTTTGACCATTCTACCATGTACGAAGGCCCTCCACTGCCCTAGTGGTTTTCCTTTTGTGGTGGACCACTGGTGTACCCACAGTGAATGCAGATCACTGTTTGACAAAATCCTTTCCAAATGGGAACAGGTCCTGAAAGTGTTTTTGGGGTGTCAAGGGCATGTCAGGATGTTTCCAAACCCCATAGAGGAAGACCTCAAAAGAGCTGGTGAAATGGAATGCCTTTGCAGCTGCAGGAGCACTGAAACACCCTAGACTGCAGACAGCAGGTTGATCCTTTAGATTCAGAGTAGTACACACCACATCAATAAGAGCCAAAATGAGCTCTTTCTAATTTTGGTGTAACAGCCGAAGACTGCAATTCCTTAAGAATAATCTGGTCAGGTACAGATTTGAGCGACTCAGATTCAGAGTCTCTGTGACCAATGGCTCAGTACTCACTAGGTTAGCGGCAGATCAGCCTTAGAATCTGGGGGGGTGGGAGCACACTCAAAGCCTCTGCAGTCAGAGACAGCCAGGAACTGGGTGAATTGGGCCATAAAGACTTGTGTGACTGTAGTAAAGACCCCTGCCCACAAAGCAAGGGACTTTGTTCCACCCAAAAGACCTAGGGAGGATTCCAATTACAAGTTAAACTCTAATCATAGCAGAACAGGATTCCTGGTTGCAGACATCAGCAACTTCAGAACGCATGGAACAACGTCCATGTAACCATTTTTGGAGTGTGTGCTGGGGGTCACCCGTTTCAGAGGGACTGTCCCCTCGGTGTCAAGAAGCAGATATCGTGGGACACAGAAGACACAGCAGTCAGCGCTGGTTAAGAGACTGGCACCAGCCCTGAAGGGATTGCTGAATACAAGTGGAAGGAAGAAGATGATCGGATCAAGAGGCATGATTTAAGGTAAGTCCTTAAAGCAGCATGGCGGGGGTGGGGGGGATTTGTAACTTTGATGTCACTTTAAGCTCAGGATTCAAGGCAAGGTCCCAGACAGTTGGTAGCAGGTAGGTTTTGCATGGCCAGAGGTGACTAAGGTGACTGTAGGCAGACAGAAGGAACAAACTGAGAATCAGAGTTCTACAGTGCTCTTTCCAAAGCATAAGCAGCATTAGGGAGATGCTTCCTTATGACTTGGCAGGAAAGAGCACCTAGTGCAGAGCACTTTACCCAGCAGATGACATCTGTGCTCAGTCCTCCAGTGTTAAGGACAGCTGCAATCAAAACAACCAGCTCTAGCAGCGATGTAGAGAAGAGTCTTGATTGCATTTTTTTCTTCCTTTTTAATTCAATTAAATATTTGGGTTAGATTTTTCCCAGCTCTGCTGAAGAAAATATTTCCATCTTCCTAGGACACTAGCAAAAACATGGGGCATGCTGGCAGTAGGACGGGTTATCCTGGGCTGGCCTACAGTTGGTTTGCCAGTGTCCAATACTCATGAAGGTGGCAGTATAACCCAAAAGATAAAACAGTGGACAAGAAAGAATGCTCTCTATTCTTTTCAGCAGGGTTTCTCAGGTCACTAGATTACCAACAACAGGTTCTGATTTACCACAGCATCAGAAACTGAAAAAGTAGACCATGCTCCCTGTATGCATTTCAGGGTCTATTATTCAATTCTTCAATATGACTGAAGATTTTTACTAGGCTGGAAAAAAAAGAAGTTCAGAATTTAAAAATATACCTACCCAGTTACTTTTGAGCTTCAGGATCAGCAGTCAGCCAAAATATAGCTGTTAACTAATAAGCCAATGAAAAATTAAGTATAATTTCTAGTGCCAATAAGTAAAGTAGATGGGGTGCCATACCTTGACTGGAGTAATGGCTGCCAGACCCACACTTGGTGTCCGGCCACTGATTTTGTGAAGCCCATGTGAGAGTCTGTAAGCTAGGGAATCCGTGTCTAAATAAATGGAATGCCTGCCAAAGGCCACAGTCCTGTATTCTGTCTCTACATTCAGCTTCTTCATCAGTTTTGAGAAACAATTTCTGGCTGCATCAATGATTTGTCGCTGTGAACTACAATTCAGGCCTAAAGAAGAAATAAAACCAGATTATTACTAGGTTTCGTACTTTCCATACATATAATTTGTATTGTAAAATAACATTGCAAATACCTATTCAGGTCATGATATTACAGATTTAAGAAGCCATTAATGCAAAAATGTTGGATTCCGACGACTGTATGCAGTTAATTTATGTAATTATAATATTTAGTAAATTAATTTTTCTTATTATTTCACATGCTTTACTCCTATTTGTCTCTGTGGGTACTGTTACCCCAGGGATCCCACACATCCTTATAGTAGCGGCAGCTCACAAGTAACTGTATACTTGAGTTATAAAAGGTCTAGAATATTTCTTGCTGTAGTCGCCTACCAGTGAAACCCATTACAATGTTTTTTAATTTGCTTCAGATATCCTGCATCAGGCCTGTGTAGCGGTCTGGATAAAATACTTTGGTACTATTGCTACCTTCACCTCCACAACAGATAACTTACAAATTATGCAGCGCCCGCAACATGTAATGTGTTGAATATCATAAACCCTAAAATTAATTAAATATAAATGTAAGAATCCACAACAGAACCTGGTTTTCATATTAAAAAGACAGACATCTTTGCTACTTTGGTTTCAACCTGGGGAAGTGCAAGCGGACACATCTTGGGGGGTTGTGCAGAGGCAGATGGGATGCGGAACTCCTGTTACCACCGTTAGGTATCTTTGTGCATTTGTTGTTGAATTTATTGTTGCGTTATTATATTGTTTAAAAAAACTAAATGTTAAAAAAGGAATTTTTAAACTCATCAACATCGTTGATGTATATAATGTATGCAGTTATCAGAATACATTTGCCCGATGGTTGTCCCTTATCTAATTACGGTAACTTACTATACTAATAATACTCTTCCTACAGATCACACGTAAGAGAGATTTATTTTAAATGTTGAACTTTATTTCTGATGCATAGAGGAGCCTGAATCTTAAAACATAAGGGCACTTATCTTTGCCACCCACCAACGTAAAGTACGCCTCCCTACCCCAAACCAGTTACAGCTGAGCTCTAGCAGGCCTAATCACATACTAGTATTAGAGAAAAAAAAACCCAACAGAATATTCAACATAGAACGGCTGCTTTAGATGGATAGACTTAAAATAATTGGCATTACCTTTGTTGTTTAATAACCCAACTAATTCTGACATAGACGTAACTACTGCTGACAGGAGATCAGTATTTGTAAGCCACTTTCCAGCTTCATTGCAATGCATTGACTCATCTAGGACAGAAAAACAGAAAAGGGTCAAAACACAGCTTCTACAAATTAAATTGTCTATATTCTAAAGTAACATATGTATACAGTATGTAATTTAAAAGGTGCACCTAGTATGAGACAGTGGGATAGTCCTTATGATGTAGCATTTTAGGCACCCTGTGGAACAGGTGATGGATGAATGACTTAAAGGAAAATATGGAAACATGTTTTCATGAATTGGTGCAATCTTAATAAAGAAGTTGTTATTAAACACCAGTGTTGAATATTTGGAAAACTCCTACCATATATAATTGGGTAGTCAAGTTGTTGCCAAACTGCAGAGTATGCAGCCAATAGTGCCAGTCAGAGTTTTTGCTTTTCTGTTCCTTGTACTATGCCCCATTAAAGTGCACATTTATAAATTATTATAAACAGTGCCGAAATGCGGCCATATTGTAAATCACTGGAAGTACCTGTGTTAGAGATATAAAAACTAACACTATTGTTACTTTATATTTTAGGACAGGTTCTGTTCACTTTAACATACAGCTTGGCATAAAGTACTCCAAGACCTATAGTCATCCAAGGACTGTACTTCCGACATAAAATCGACAACTGCAAAAAGTCTATTAGCTGAAAAAGATGAACTAGAATATCTCTCCCAGAAAGATGTCAGTGGAACATTTTCAGTCCACCATGCATGACACTTCTTGCCATGGCAAAAATGACCAGCATTCTGGGTAACAGCAGGTAACATATAGAGGCACACAGATATGCTTGCGTAACAAAGGAGGTCCTTAAACAGCCCCACTTTGAGCTACTGTACCTAGGTATATGGTTGTCTTTACAGAGAGTGGTGTGATAACCACTAGGTATTCTACCTACTTACAGAGCAACTATAGATTCTTGTCTCTCTCTGGGGCAACAGTCCTTTTCATTGCCTCATTAGCCAAAAGAAAATCTACGGCTTTTTAAAACTATAAACATATATACTTTATCCCTTGGAGCAAATGGATTTTTGAAAGGGAAGGTATGTGGTAAGGCGGAAAAGTATTAGAGTAGCCAGTCAAATGGTTAAACATTTCATGGGTTTTTGTACTATAAGTCTAAACACTTAAAAGATAGATAAAATGTGGTAACTTGTCTATTTATTTTTATTATTATTGATTGGGCAGCACAGTGGCGTAGTGGGTAACGCTTCTGCCTTGCAGCACTGGGGGTCCCTGATTCGAATCCCAACTGGGGTCACTATCTGCAAGGAGTTTTCATGTTCTCCCTGTGCTTGCGTGGGTTTCCTCTGGGTACTCTGGTTTCCTCCCACACACCAAAGACATGCTGGTAGGTTAATTGGCTCCTCTCTAAGTTGGCCCTGTATGTATGCATGTGAGATAGGGACCTCAGATTGTAAGCTCCTTGAGGGTAGGGACTGATGTGAATGTGCAAATATGTACTGTGCTGCGTAAATTGCTGGCGCTATATAAATACCCGTAATAAAAATAAATAAATATCAGTTTTAGTTTGATCTTAACATCTACCTCGCCTTGTCAAATTCATCTAATATTAACCTCTTGCCGTCCGCCCGTAGTAAAAAAACGGACGGACGGCACTGCAGCATCTGCGGGTTGCCGTCTCCAGACGGCAATTTTTTTCTGCTCGCGCGCGCCCCCTAGCGGGCACGCACGGGCAGAAAAGACCCGCTAAATGCACACACCCGTTACCGGGTGTTTCACATATAGGCGATCGGCGGGTCCATAGCCCGCCGATCGCCTATATGTGCTCGTTCGCGGCACCCCCCCCCCCAGGGTTGTTATCCCCCTATATAATAGCAATACCAATAAGTGCAAAAAAAATAAATATAAATAAAAAAAAATAAAAGTAACACATAAAAAAGTAAAATAAAATAAAAGTCACATATAAAAAAAGGGGAAAAACCCCCCCCAAAATGTTTAACTCCCCCACCCCCACGTTTACGCGCCTATAAACGTAAATACGCGTCCGGTGCCCCAGCGCGCAAAAATTACAATTGCGCTACACATGTTACATATCGCCGCGAACGTCGCAGTGAGAGCAATCATTTTAGGGCCATCAATCACTGATAACACTAAACTGATGAGCGGTAACAGCTTTTAAAGCGTCGCCTAGGGCCAATTTTGGGTATTATCGTTTTTTGAGGTTTCGCGCGCGCACGCAATTTTAAGGCTTGACATGTTTAGTGTCTTTTTACCCGACGTGACCCCATCTTTTATATTTTACCAAAAAATTGGGTAATAATAAATGTTTTATCATTTAATATAGGGGAAACTGTTTTTTTTTTTAAATTTCGGTAATTTTTCCTTAATATAGTAAAAAAATAAAACCCCCAGTGGTGAATAAATACCACCAAAAGAAAGCTCTATCTGTCCCCAAAAAAGGGTATAAAATTCATTTCAGTACAGCGCTGCATGACGGAATAAATGTCAGTCAAAGTACCGCAGCGCTGAATACTGAAAAATGGCCTGGATGGGAAGGGGGTTTAACACCGCGGATGTCAACTGGTTAAGCGTGGTCAGTTTTAAAATATAAATCTTACATGTTTTCTGAATGATCTGGGCTTGTCCGATGCACACTGAAATCCCAGGTCTCTTCTTGGCTTTCTCCACCCATGTAAAAAGAGATTGCCTGGATCTACCAAGCCGCTGCAGCCGTTTGGCCGCCAAAACTACAATGGCACTTTTCCGAAACAAAAGCTTCAGATGTACTGAATGTTGCGTTTTCTTCCAAGAATCCCCCTTTTTCTTATCTACATTTTCAGACAACGTTTGGACTAGATTTTGGATCTCCCTCTGAACATCTACACAAGAGTTCCATTCCTTTTGAAGGAGGGTTTTCTGTGCAGCTAACAAACAGCTTCTACTGTATAATGGGCATAGGGCACCAGCCATGAGGGCACAGGCTGCGAGGAGAGACTTGTGGTCTTTCTCGGTGTTGATTAGCACATTTTTAATTCGCACATTTTCGATGGCCATCTGATCCTTCGTTTTTTCAGAGATTGAAGTTTTGTCTTTAAGTAGTTCAGCAATCTTCTGATATTTCTATAAAAGGGTAAAAAAAAAACAAACAAAAAAACCTAGTGTAATTATTTTGCGTATTGTACACAAACATTAAAAAGGTTTGACATGAAAAATATCTTAGACAATCAAAAAAATGGACTCTGTGATCTGAATACATTAAACTACCAGTTATCCGGCATCCACGGGGATTGGTAGATTCCGGATAAATGTAATTTCTGGTAGACATGTGCACCGGCAAAAATTTTTAGTTTTGATTCGGATTTTGCGTTATTTCGTTTTTCGGGATTAGGGTCTGAAGGTCAATTTGTTTCGGGATTCGGACGAAATTCGGTAGCGGTAGTCTGTACGAAATTTTGTTTCGTTCGTTCGTTGCAGCAACGACATTTGAGAAAAAAAAAAATATATATATTTTTTCTCAAATGTCACTTTGCTGCAATAAAATTTCGTCCAACAAACGAGATTTCGTACAAACTACCCCTAACGAATTTCGGAACTGGAAATTCGAATTCGTTTGCATTCGGTATAGCTGTAATTTGGATACATCCTAATCTCCGAATTTCTGAAATTTCGTCCAAATTTCGATTCGGAACGAAACAAAAATTGCACGTCTAGTTTCTGGTTGCTCGAGAGTTACTATTTAAAATAGGTCTAACTAATGCCATACCCCATACTATACAATAAAATAAAACTCTGTATTGACTTCATATTAATATTGAAATGCAGTAATCAAAAGCAAATTAAGACAAATAGACACACGATCGTTTCCAGGATAATACATGCCACAGATCAGCTAACCAGAACTCTCATCTAACCAGAAAACAAAAATTCACTGTGCACTCACTGTTCTAGTGAGTGCAGTGAATTTTTGTTTTCTGGTTAGATGAGAGTTCTGGTTAGTTGAATACCAGATAACAGAGAGTTTGATGTACTTACAGACACCTTTAGCACTGATGTTACCTTTGAGGGCAGAAACAGTGTATTTCCACATTTGCTGACAAATTTGAGAAAACTCACACTATATGTCTGCTGGGTGCCTCCCCTCGCACAGCATACCTAAAACCAAAAACCTATTTCTTACCTTTTACATGTTTCTTGGGATAAGGCTTTTGCACAGACCGCAAGCTACTCTGAACAATCTGAAAGTAAATCTTGTATAGGTCTCATATCCGCCCCCTCCTGTAGTTTTCTACAGCCTGCCTGTAGTAGGGGGTACCACCTGCAGGACCCCTTCCACAGCTCTGCTCCCTGCACAGCACAGTGATAAGGTCACTGCTTCCTTTATTTTTTTTTCTACTTTTAAAGGTAATATCTGGATTTGTAAAGATGTGTGGTGCACACAAAGTGGACGTATATTCCTTGTAGATATTCAGATATATATATATTTTATGTTTAATTATAAACAAACATAACTTCCCACAACCCTCTACAGTCCCATCTTTACATTACATGGATAAAGCGAGGTAGGATTTTAAGCAAGTAAAAAGCACTTAAAATTGTAAGCAGAAACTTTTAAATATGTTTTAAATTATGTGATGTGAATAGGAACACATAGCAAATATAAAGTAGGTGTTATATGATTTTGGCTGCAAAAATGGAAAATACAGTTTAAACTAAAAAGTGCCCCCCTTTCACCTACAAAATTCCAGGGAAACAATATGTCTTCAGGAAGTCCCATGTAACTTTCCATACTGCATTTTGACAGAATTAGAAAAATCACCCTCTGACTCTCAAATGTATGTGTGGGGGATCTGACCAACATTCTGCCCAAATAACAATGAAGCAGCAGCCCGAATTACAACTGTCAGACAGTGTGGGATTGGTAGCTTTGCTGGATATTCTGCCGAAACCCATATACCATTACTACTCCAAAATGTGGTGTCCAGAATTTGGAAATGATTTCAAATCATTTGCTCTACATTTGTTATCAGAATTCGGTGGACATTTAAAATGACAGAACACTAGTTCCCTAAACAGCTTGGACATGATGCAGGCTGTAATTACACGCAAAAAGCTTATTACCAGTCTCTGCTGTTGCATGGATGTTAGGGAGACACTTTAAAATCTGGCGCTATTTCAGATCAAGGTGGCCACAAACATTATTATCTGATAGTACAGCCTTTACAGTATAAGCCATACTAAATAGTTGTTAGTAACCCAAAAAGATTGTACTAATTGTAAATGTTTGGCCAGCTTTAGAAGGCATGTAAATCTCGTACCTGAGCCTTCTCACGAGCTTCTCCAAGAAAAGCAGAGTAATGTTGTTCCAGATCTTTAGTCTTTGTATGCCAGGAGCTATGCTGTGCTTTCATTTGCTCAGCAAGCTGGTCAAGAGAGTTTTCATGGTTTCGCTGCAGTTCTATGATCTCATCAGCCTTTTTGTTGCATACTTGTTTTAGATGCGACACCTATTGTGAAAGAAAATGTAATGATACATTTTCAAGTTGGACTTGATAGCAGACAATGTGATGCAGACATTGTTTTCTGCTAAGTACTGTACCTTATCATTAGTTTTGTTGAGGTCAGAGATCAGGATATCAACATTCTCTTGCAAGACAACACACAGCTCTGACCAGGAGAAATTACCCAGCATGCATTCAGGTTGTTTAATAAGAACACATCCTGCCACTAGGCGCTGGTATAAACTGTGCAAGAAAGTCAACTTTTCCTTAAAAAGAAAACAAATGGGACATAATGAAAGGAAACTGAGAAAGAGCAAATAAAATTGGGAAGGTATTTTAAATGACAAAACTAAAAAAGCATGGTGGGTACAAACTAGTTTTCTCTATATATAACCTAGTGAGATGTGAAAAGGTAAACAAACAACTATTGCATGTGAAATAAAAAGGTTGTTCCATTTTATACTCAAGGGAAGTGGATTTTTATCGGGTACATATTCTGCATTATTTTGAATGGCTTACCTTAAAAACATTTCCACACATTTGTGTTTCCATTATTTTCTGGACTGGTAGTGTAGAGACCCCACAGCAAAATATGGAAAATGCAGGTGCGTTGGAATGATGGGGATATCCAAATACGTGTCCTTGATGTCCACAGAAATAAGGTTCCCCTGGTAAATGAGGGTGATGACAGATATGGGGGATCCCATGTGGAAGTTTTGGTTTCAAATTCATGAGGTGGGGAGAAACAGGAAGGTCGGGGTTGAGAAACCAAGGAGAAAAACTCCAGTTTGTGTCCCAGGGATACCACCTCCTACACCTTCACCCAAGTGTCAGAGATGCAAGTTGTCCAAGCATCACCCCACTCTGGAAGGTGGGGAGTTCACCTGCATGTCTAACAAAAAAAAAAAAAAAAAAAAAAAAAAAAAAAAAAAAAAAAAATTGGGGGGAGAAGAATTAGGCCTAATGGAATATAGCAGAAATACAAATCCTGTCAATGGTCTAGGCCAGACCTTGCTGGTGGACGGGGAACCCGGCTTGGAGGTTGGTCGATGAGGATGTGTAAAAACATTATCTAGAAACCAACCCAAGAGGCTGTACAGAACAATAGCTTTGGATACAAGAAGTCTGCAGTCCAGCACCTTAACCATGGTGCCTATGCATGAGTACTGTCAAAAGAACATGCAATAGCAAAATCAGGAAGCTTTTTAAACAGACTGGTACAACTAAAATAAAAAGTTACAGCCACTTGTCTATGCATACGCTATTATTCATTCAACAAGGAGCAATCACAATCAGAAGCTTTCAAGCCACTAATTTAAAGTGTTATATATCTGCAACAATAAGGAGGAGAAAATAAGGGTTCAGATGTGGGCGAAAACACTGTACACCAAAAGCAGTCTAAATGATTTGTCCTTCAGAAAGGGCATAGAGGCTACATCTAAGAAGAAATCCACAGAGGAATCATGAGCTAGATGATGTAATAGATATGTCTGCCAACTGCATAGCGAAACATATCACCACAATAGAAAAGAACTGCACAATAGAGAAACAACTGCCAATGGAAATCAACCAGCAGTGCATGCTCCTATAGGAAAAGGAGAGAATAGCATCCACCCTTAAAAATTTGGGTACCCAACAGACTCATAAATATAAGGTGTTGCTGTGTGTGGGGTTTCTGAGAAAAATGGTGCTGGGCGGTGCATGCCCCTGGGATCATATGTACCAACAGAGACCTAGAACACCACATATCAGAACAAGAAATAAAGCACAAATGAGGTCCAGGTTGCCTGCAGCTGCAGGGTGGCCAACCTCACTGACACCAGACATGCTAAATAGCAGCTGCTGGAGAACAAGTAAACACCCCAGAATACTCATGGACCCCATATAAAAAGAGCTGAAGCTGAGCTCCCTAAGTTATACCGTGAAATGTTAAACTGTAACTATAGTACATCAGACTATCCTGACAGAGAGTTGCAGTACATCAGACTATCCTGGCACACAGTGCCTAATAGTACAGCAGACTGGCACACAGAGATTACCAGTAATCTCAGCAGCGCTGACTAGCTGTAGACAAATCGGAGCCAAGAAGCTGCAAGTGAGAGAAAAGAAAACCCTGCGCTAACTCCCGTCAATGAGATCCGTGGCCCAGCCAAAGAAGCTGAGGGAAGGATCAATGAAAGTATGAGCCAATATGAGGAAAATACCCAGCTGCCTTAGAGTAAAAAACAAAAAACACACAGAGCTGCTAGTAAAAAAGGAAAAGGAGGAATCTCCCTCTTTGCAGAACATCTACAGAGGGGGGAATGTTATCTAAAAACAGTTGTAGTGAAAGAAGAGATCTGCACCCTAGACATGTGGCCTGAGGAAAAACAACAGGATAAAGTAGGCGATGCAAAAGATCACTGTATATTCAGTGTGTCATAAAGACCCAGCTCACATGAAAAAGGGGGGGAATTGCAAAAGGGCAGTTATACACATAACAGTGCCTGGACACTTAAAAGGAGAACTATAAGGCGAGTGATAATCACTCAGCCTAATAGTTCTAGCCGACCTGTGACAATGAAACTGTCACAGGTCGGCTCAATACATCGGGAAGTGGGAGAACACATACCGTCGTTCGCTCACTTCCCGATCCTGTCCCCGCAGAGAGCTGTGACTGTCACTCACGGCTCCCTGCAGGGATTCCCCTTCTCCCCTTCCCGATCCTCCAGCACTGACTGGCGGAACGGACGGGGTAGGGAGCGGGTACAGCTGGCTCTGCCTCTAGATAGGCAGAGCCAGCTGTCACTCACACAGCTGGGTGGATCCAGACAGTAATGTCGGGATCTGTCCCGGCTGCGGCGTCTCAGTATACCGCGAGCTGTAGCTCGCGGTATACTGAGCTTTGGGTGACGGGAGGACGCTAGTTTGTGTCCTTCCGTTACCCTAAGGAGAACTATGGGGAAAAGCTCTGACCCCATAGTTCTCCTTTAAGCCTGCGACACACTGCATGCAAACCGTGCAGAGCAAAGCTTTGAGGCATGGACGTTCGCATAAGGTGTGCGAGAGTAGCGCAGCCAAATGAAAGACTGCATCTTCAGCCAATCGACTCATGTGTAACTATTCAATGGACTTCGCATCCTGACCCACAGGTTTATACGTGCGGGCCAATTGGCTGAAGATGAAATCTTTCATCTCGGCACTCTCAGCTATGCGAGCTCTTGCAAGCTGACGCGCCAGAGTGAAAATAACAAAACCCACTGCACGCGAAAGGTCCGTGTGCCCCCGCTTCGCGTGCAGTGTGTCATCGGCTTAAGGCATCGAAGAACAGAAAATGCCCATAACTCTCCCACAGAGCAATAAAAGGAGCTTATTCCAGCTTAATTATACAAGCAAAGAGGCACAGTTTAACTAGCCATCAGTAATAGGGAGGCCAAACTCAATGCTCAGCCTTTAAAACATATATAAAAGAGGTACAAAAGGGTAAAACATATGACTTCCCTCACACACTGTACAGTAGGTATAGCAGCTTCAGTAGGAAGAGCTTACAATAAACGAAAGGACAGGGCATACAACATAACATATAACATGCAGTCTGCAGAGATGGGTTCAGTTGAACTGTTGAAGCTCTGGTCCCCATAACTCAGCAAGGAATCCCCAGTCATACTGGCCTGAGCTGAATAGCAGAGTCTTGTGGTAACTGGAACACAGAGGAGATATATTTATTATATCTGGCATGAATCTCCCAGCACTGCCGGCTGACTGGAGAAACGTCCAGGATTTAGCTGGCCCAAATCTACCAGCAGTGTAAAATCCTTTTCTTGAAGTCCACTGCAGAAACATCTTCCAAATGAACAGAAAGCAGCTCCTGTGCTTTCAATGACGGTCTGCAACATTATCACTTACCATTTTATTTTATCAGTTTACTTTTTGTAATTTTGTTGTTATGTGCATTTACTCAATGTTTCTTTATCATAGACAGCCTTTCACATAAAAAAAAAGCTCCCTACGGGCTCATTCACACACAACGCAAGAGCAAAATTGTATATGTATTGCGTATATACGGGCGTATGTGCGTATATGCGTGCACTATTTGCATTCCTAGAATGCATCATTCCTAGTAGAGATTTGAATGAACTGTACGCACATACGCGCGCAAACATGCGTATGTGCATAAAATACGCAGAAATACGATGCCTGGCCGCATCTCGGTTCCATTCTGTTTTTGCGCATTTTTACGCTATGCAAAAATACAGCTCCATACGCGGCTATGTGTATGGTGCCATTTTGTTGCATATGGTACAATACGCACATATATGCGCGGAAGTGTGAATGAGGCCTACATTGGTTCATACCTCTTTATCCTTTTGGAAAGTATTGCTGATCTTTTGTATTTCACTCTCAGCTTCTAATACCCTTCGGGCTTCTTTCTCCCAGGCATCTTGCGCTTTGCCAAATTCCTTTTGCAGCCTCGCAATTTCAGACTCCCTTTCAGCACATTTATCACTTAAATAATGCATTTCCTTTTCAGCAACGGTCAGTTCAGATCGAGCATTCTGCAAAATAGAGAGAGCATATTATAAAGAGCTACTAGACATAAATATTTTTTTTTTAAATCAGATAGTGTTTATTGGCATTTTTCAGTTTGTTTAAATATTTTTACACAAGATTCACAAATCGTTCGACCAAGATTCACACACACATTTTTCTAATTAGATTCTATTGGGAAAAATGTGGATTCTGGGTAAAAGTTGTATGACTAAAACACAATTATAAATATAGCCCAATAAAAATATATGTGATAAAAGGCCATATATATATTGCATAATATCATAGTAGAAACAGGTTTAAAATGACAATTAAGACCGTAAACAAAAGACAAAAAAACAACATACATTGTTTAAAGCCTATCACTGGGCAAAAAAACAACAACTTACGTTTGCAGTGGGGGTACGCCTCGCACTGCAAGGGTTAAGTGCTTGCCTGTACATCGCTCACCAAGCAGTCAGTGCTGTCCTTCCCCCCC